AGGAATGCGGACTTTGGGACTTTGGATTCGAAAAGTGGCTGAATGGTTTTTGTGGGGATGTAAGGGTCATCCTAGTAGGAACATAGAAGACAGTGGTGCTGAGGGTGATGTGAACCGTAAGGGCCTAGCTCAAGAGGTTTCAGAAAAAAATATTAATAATGTGGACTAGAGACTGTTCTTGTGGTATTTTGGTGAAGAACGAGGCTGCTTTTTGCCCTTGTCTGAAAAATCTGCCTGACAAGTTTTGGATTAGTTGCATCAGCAAAGGAAATCTCAAAACAGCCTAGTGTGGACTGTGTCGTGTGGCCGCTTAGTGTTCACTCTTTGGAAGATCTGTAACACCCAGGAGCAAGCTGAGCAAGCAAGAAGACAAGCTGTACAGTTTGAGGAACGTGTTCCAGCCCCTGCAGCAGATCTTGGCAGCTTCAGCGGCACGGTTCTTCCGTTAGAGTCAAGGATAGAAGAAAGGAGTCCGTCCTCAACTAAGAAAAGCCGCTGAGGCCAGGCATGTGGCAGGGGTGTCCCTGCACAGAGGCCCAGAGAGGCCACGGTGTGAAGCTGTGATGGTGAAGCCCAGATTGTCTTGGAGATTCCAGAGCTATGGGATGCCAAGGAGAGCTGCTCACAGGGAGTGGAACCATCCCTAGAGATGGAAATGTACTGCAGTGGACAAAGCTGAGAGGAGTTGGAGATCTGACAAGTGCTTTGACAGCAGACATGGAGGTGCAGAATTTGGAGTCTGTCCAGCTGGTTTTCAGTCTTGCTTTGGTCCAGTGTTTCCTCACGATGCTCTTTCCCCCCTTTTGGAATGGTGATGTACATTCTATGCCATTGTATGTTGGAAGTATGTGATCTGCCTTTTAAATTTTGATTTTATAGGAGAGTGTAGTTAAGAGATTGCATGACTCTCAGAAGAGACTTTTGACTTTGAGCTTTTAAACAAGTGTGAGACTGTTACAGACCATGAGGACTTTTGAAGTTGGACAGAATGCAGTTTGTCACTATGCTATCCTTTCAGGCTTTTGGGGGTGCAATGTGGTGGTTTGAATAGAAATGGCCTCCGTACACTCCTCTGTTTGAATACGTGGCCCATAGAGAGTGGCCCCGTTAGGAGGTGTGGCCTTGCTGGAGTGGGTGTGGCCTTGCTGGAAAAAGATGTTACTGTGAGGGTGGGCTTTGAGATCTCAGATGCCCAGGCTGGGTGGCTTATGCTGCGTGCATAAGACGTAGAACTTTCAGTTCCTTCTCCAGCACCAGTGTCTGCTGGCGCGTCACCATGCCTCCCGCCACGATCTTAAGAGACTAAACGTCTAAATTGTTAGCCAGCTCCAATTCAGTCTTTTCCTTTGTAAGAGTTGCTGTGGCCATAGTGTCTCTCCACAGCAATAAAATCCTAACTAAGACACCTACACCCCGACCCCTGCCCCCCACAAAACACTGGACTATTATTCAGCCTTTGGGGAAAAATAGCATTCTGACGTTACTGAGATGTGAATGCACCTCCGGGAGAAGGCAGACAGATTGGTAAATATTTCATGACTTCACTAATGTAAGGCGCCCAGAGCTGTCACCGTTGTGAGCACGGACACTGTCCTCATTAGGCATAATTCTTCTGTTTCCTTGTTTGACGAAGGGCTCGGTATGTAACCAGGCTGGCCTCGAACTCACAGTCTTCCTGCCTTGCTCCAAGGGTTGGGATTACAGGCCTGTGTCTCAGGCCTGACTAGCAAACAGGGAAGCTTGGCTCAGAGCTGGGAACGTGGAACCCAGTGCTCTACTGACTAACTGGGTCACAGGACTCCTCAGACCTGGAAGGGACCGTTTAGCTCTAGCTGTTTGGGCTTTTCACGTCTCTGGGCCTCTTGGCTTCTTGCATGGGGGTGGGCTGCGCAAAGCCAGTTCTGCACAGCGGGGAGGGAATCAGGCCTGGCCACAGGTGGTTTGGTGGCCCAGTTTTGCACCTATGACCCTGGTCTCTGCACTACACGCTGCTTCCTGCCATGTCATTGGAACTATCACACCACCTGGGAGGGGGGCGCCACCCCCCAGGAGGCTTGGAGAAGGCCCTGTCTCACCTATAGAATGAGGTCAGAATAAAGTCAACGCGGCAGTCCTTGTTCAAACCGTTATCTCTCTTCTTACATCCGGACCTGCAGGCTCTCCGCCGTTCTCTGCCCTCTGCCCTCATTCCTTCGCTTTAAACCGGCCGCCAAGTCTCTAACCTACGTTAGGATCGGGACAGGGAGTCTCCTCCTGCTCCCACCAGGGGGCGCTCGCGGGCCTTGCAAAAGCTTCCTCCCAAGGATCAAAGGGATTGGTGTGAAACCAAGATGGGGAGGCCAGGCCTGTAAGGAAGGTCCCACGTAGGGAGCCTGGTCCTGGGAGGGCTTTTATCCCCTGGTTTGCTGGCCTAGAAAATGGGTGTGTGTGGGAGCGGGTAGGCAAAGCTTCCCAACTTAGGACAAAGCTTCTCGACTTTTTTTTTTTTTTTTAATTAGCATGATTTATTTTATTTTAAAAATGTAATTTAGGGGGGAAATCTTTGAAAGCAGGTTTTGCATCAGGGTCTCAGCAGGGCCTGGTATAGGCGATTTCTGATAGGTTCTCATGTGGTGCACTTGCTGATGTTTCTAGGAATTATCTCCAGGGCCTTCCCAGCTCTGACCACAGGTGGATTCCTGAGCTGGGCAGGAAACCCTCCTGTCCTGAGCACCCCCTCCCCCATAGATACCTGTGATTTCAGCCATCAGAAGCAGAGGCAAAGTGACCATGTCAAGTTGGAAGCCAGTCTGGTCTAAAGTGAGTTCTAGGTCAGCCTGGGCTACATAGTCAAAACACAAACCAAAACAGCCAGCTCCTAGAGGCTCACACCTTTCACCTCAGCACTTGGGAGGCAAAGACAGGCGGATCTCTGTGAGTTGGAGGCCAGCCCGGTCTACAGAGTGAGTTCCAGGACATCCAGGGCTGTTACACAGAGAAACCCGGTCTGGGAAAAACAAAACAACAACAACAAAAAAAGCCACCTACAAACAGAAAACCCCTAAACACAAACAATCCCACAAACCAACCAGCCAAAAGCTTCTGCGGCGTGGGGCCTCCTGTGTGCATTCTCTTTCATTCATCACTGCTGTTTCCTGGGCCTCTGTGCTGAGCCCCTGCGCTTACTCGGGAGACAGACTGATGAGACCCCGGCCCTAGTGAGCTCAGGGACCCACAGGTTCTGGGGACAAGGAAGCTGGGGTGGGAACCTGGGAGGTGCCTGAGCCTAGGTGTGAGGAGGGCCGGGAAGAGACTCCGCTCCCTGTGCCTGGTGGGTGTGCAGGTGTGCCAGGCAAAGGGAAGGCAGATAAGGACAAGGCCTCCCCAGGTCTGGGTGGGGCATGCAAGACCCAGAGAAGAGAGGGCTGGCCACTAAGATGAAGCGTTCCATAGGCACAGTGACAATACCCACATGTCCCTCAGAGGGACGGATGTGCACAGAAGCAGCATCTTAAAAATGGTCTTTTATGGACCAGGGCCGTTGGTTTGTTTTGCTTTGTTCTGTGAGAAAGGATTTCTCTGTAGCCCTGGATGACCTGGACTCAATTTGTACACCATGCTGGCCTTGAACTCACAAAGATCCTCCACCTGCTTCTGCTGGGGCTAAAGGCATGCGCTGCCACACCCGGCTCTAGGAACCAGGGCTGTTGAAACAGGCTCTTCTACATAGTGCAAACGGATCTGAAAGTCACAGCCATCCTCCTGCCTCAGCTTCCTGAGGGGATAGGAATTCTTACCCAAAGAACGTCCTCGCCTTCCCGTATGGCTAGTCTGCTGTAATGGTTTCTTCGACAACCTACTGCGGCCTTCCACTCAACATCGAAGGCCCAAATTAGAGTCCACCCCAGCCTGAGCCCTGGGGCTCCAGAACCTAGACCTGACCCCTGGAAAGTCTCTTGTTCACACAGGACCCCCATATCCATGCATCTGCTTCTCCACCTTTGACCCTGTGCTGTCTCCCAGCAACTTTAGCAGGAAATCAGGAGTTGGTCTCTTGGAGGCAGCTGATATTTAGAGACAGACAGACATTCATGGAGTCTGACCCTTGAGACTGAGTTCTTGCTGGTTGAGGGTGTCTACAAAGTGCCAAGGCCCCAGACCCCCTGGCCTGCCCTCCACCTCAAGGCATTTATCTATCCATCCGTCTGTCCCTTCAACTCACCTGAGCCATGCGCCCAGCCTCAGGCGAGGCCCAGGCAGAGTGAGCTCCAATCCCCACATGAAGCCCAGGGGCCGACTTAGAACAGGGCAGCCACTGAGCACAGGACAGGCTCATGGTGCTCACAGCCATGAGGACAGAGATGGCTGAAGAGAGGGCCCTGAGAACCCACAGCCAGGGAGGAGACATGCCTACCCCAAGCCCCACCCTCTGAGGTTCCCTAGATCACCCAGCCAGCTAGTTTTCTTCCCGTTGCTGTGGTAAAATACTGACCAAAAGCAACGTGGGGAGGAAAAGATATATTTCATCTTTCGGCTTACAGTCCGTCATGAAGGGGAGTCAAGGCTGGGACCTAGAGTCAGGAACTGAAGCAGAGGCCACGGAGGAGCACTGCTCACTGGCACACTCCACCTGCTTCTTTATCCAGCCCGGGACCACCCACCTATCGGTGACACCACCCACAGTTGGCTGGGCTCTTCCACATCAACCATTAACCAAGAAAATGCTGCAGAGATTTGCCTCCCAGCCAGTCTGTGGAGTCATGTTCACAGCTGAGATTCCCTCTTGCCAGATGCCTCTAGCTTGTGCCAAGTTGACAAAAATCTAACCAGCACACAGGGTACCCCAATCTAGTTTTACATCTAAGTGGCTTGGGGCTGGCTTCTTCCTCCTCCTCCTTTTCTTCTTCTTCTTCTTCTTCTTCTTCTTCTTCTTCTTCTTCTTCTTCTTCTTCTTCTTCCTCCTCCTCCTCCTCCTCCTCCTCCTCCTCCTCCTCCTCCTCCTCCTCTTTTTGTTTGAGACAGGGTTTCTCTGTGTAGCCTCAGTTGTCCTGGACTCACTTTGTAGACCAGGCTGGCCTCAAACTTAGAGTGATCAGCCTGTCTCTGCCTCCGTGAGTGCTGGGATTATAGGTGTGCACCACCTGGCTTCCTCTTCTTTGGGGAAGCTGTCTAGGGATTTTCAGGCTGAGAAATCAAGTCCCAGATGGGAACAGGGAGATAAGAAAGGAAATAAAGGTCAGAGAGGAAAATACTTGGTTATTTTAAACAAATTCATCTGTGCAAAACAATAGTAACAACAATGCCATGTGGAGTTTGAAATGTAGAAAGAACTCAATATGAGATGGTACCAGGTGACACCAGAGCATAAGTCAGGAGGGTAACTGGGGTTTTGAGCGGCCTGGGGTTCCTGCATTTTTGCACCAGTGGCCATGAGGATGACCACATTCATTAGCGTTAAACTTGAAGAAGTCAAGGTGTGCTGGCTTTCGGACAGCCACTAAAAGGAAGGGGAACTAACACATTAATAAAACAGTGACATGACCAATATAAATACCAAGCCAATCCGGAATGAAGTTTTAAAAGGCCACTTATGTATATATAGAATACATTTTGACTTTTAAAACATGATACATAAAGAAACACCAAAGGTAAAAACAGAAAACAACAACAACAAAACTGCTACTAAAAATCTCAATTGCTGGGCATGGAGAGGGCTCCGTGGATGAAGCCCCTGCTTGTTGGTGTGAGGGTGTTGCTCGGATCTCGAAGCCATGGTGATGCCAGGTGGCCCTGCCTGTAACGCCAAGGCTCTGAGGGTGGATATGTGGGGTCCCTGGGTCAGGCTGCCTGAGCAAACTACCGTACGGGCAGGTGCTGGGAGCAGCTGAGGGAGGCTGCCTCCCTGAGTGAGAGTGATGGCTGAAGGGGGACTGCCTGTGTCAGCCCCGGATCTCCACGTGTGTGCCTACAAACGTGCACTCCCACACACGGGAGCACACACACTCCGTGCCTGCATACCACATACCCAAACACACAATTCTTTTTTTTTTTTTTTCTTTTTACCAAGACAGGGTTTCTTTGTGTAGCCTTTGCCATCCTGGAATTCACTCTGTAGACCAGGCTGGTCTTGAACTCACAGAGATCCGCCTGCCTCTGGCTCCCAATGCTGGGATTAAAGGGGTGTGCCACCGCCGTCTGGCCCACATACAAATTTTAAAAGTTTTCTTGTATTAGGCAGTAAGCACACAACATTCTCTTCAGCATGGCTCACAGACTTTACATATGTCAGATATTCTTTAGTCTCCGCTCCATAGTTAGCAAAGACCAATTTAAAGAGGAAAACAAATTTTGGAATATGAGACATAAATAATTCTATCTCATTGTACACACACACATACACCACTTTCAGTAGAAAAACGGCTGAAGCTTATTTGACAAAGTACAATCCATATTTAACATGGATAAGAGGTGATAATTCTGAAAAAACAAAAACAAAAAAAAACAAATATTCCTCTGGGCAAACGGGTGGATCTCTTGTGAGTTCAAGTCCAGCCTGGTGTACAGAGCGAGTTCTAGGACAGCCAGGGCAACACAGAGAAACCTTGCCTCAAAAGACCAAAACAAACAAACAAATTGTCCATTTTTCTCACATGTAGAATCCATGTCTTTACATGTTTTCATCGTACTTAATAATTGCCAACAGAACAATGATGTTTTCCCCTTGAAGAAGGGAACTAAAAATACAACATGGAAGTCTCTATAGAATGAAGTGTCATTACCTGGGCCTGGTGATGCAGGCTTTTAACCTCAGCTGCTCAAAATGCAGAGGCAGGAGGATTTAAATTCCAAGGCCTGCCTGTGATACAGAGTGAGTTCAGGTCTAGCCTAGGCAACTTAAGGAGACCTTGTCTCAAAAAAAAAAAAAAAGTTTTGTTTTAAAGAACAAGGGAAAGAAAAAATGAAAAGAGGTCTGGAGGTGTAGCCCAGGGCTTAGAGCGCCCTCCTAGCCCGCCAAAACCTTAGGTTCAAGCCTCAGAACCAACCAATCAAGCAACCAACCAAAAGCGTATCCCTGGCTCTGAGTGGACGGGCCTACCGTATCCTGTTGTGCTGGCCCACGTCTTCCACACGGTGGCGCTGTTAGGCTGCTGGCTGCTTCCAGCCGCTGGACCTTGGAGGGAAGGGGTGGGGTGTCTTAGCGACCGGGTTTATTTCCTCAGCGTCCTGCCTCCCTAGGTGGCCATCTGGGGCACGAACTCTCAATAAGTCAGTCTTCCCCGTGGGCGGCTCCTGCTGCTGTGAGTCAAACAGCTTTGCATCTCCCAGGGACAAGCCTGGACTCCCAGGTCACGCATGCATGGCCTTTAGGGTGCGCTCTAGAGGTAGTGAGCTCTAGGTCCTGGAGGAGCCCAAGCCATCAGAACCCAGTTGCTGTAAGAGAAGGTAGTCTGTGGTGAAGTGGTCGGTCCTGGCTCCCTCTGCACTGAGACCGGGGGCCCTGGCCTAAGGCTGTGGGCAAATGGGGTGTCTTCGTGCTGCTCCCATTCTCCCATACGCTCCTCCATCTCCTGTGGCTCAAATAACTGCATCCTGCTGGGATTCTCGGCAGCCCCATCCGTTTCCAACACTACACTTGATTCTGGCCATATGTTGGGCAGGGCCCCATGAGAACCCAGAGCCTGTCTGCCTGGATCATCACCTCTCCTCGGTGCCAGGACCCGGGGCACCCGGCAGGCACTCACATGTCGCGGCTGGAGACATGAAGGCTGGAGAGCAGTCGCTGCCTGGCTGGTGGTGGCGGCGGTTTCCTTTAGGGGAACCCAAAGGCACGATAACCCGGGCTTGCAGCTCTAGCTGAACCAGGCTGATGTCAACACATGACATGGGAGCCCATCAGGCTGGTCTCTCTCAAGCACGTGCTACGGTCTCCCAGACCCCAGCATCTTGATCGACAGGAAAAGCCCCTGCATCCTGTTACCGACTTTATTTATTTTCTGCAGTGTATATCAGACTCCATAACCCATCAAGGTCTTGCTGGCTCCAAGGCTCCTGCGAGGTAACTTCACTCCCTGTTGCTCCTTTTCAGTTCCTCAAGTGAAACATAACAGCTGTTCTTCCTGTCCGGTCTGCGTTGCTCCCTCAGCCTGGGCACTTCCCCTCCCCATTCCTTTAGTTTGTTTGCATATATCCCCTTTCTTCCAGGAAACTCTCCCTGCTTTGGTGTCACACCTTGGGGGTCACACCATCAGCTGAGCTTTTGTCTCTGTCTTGCCCCCACCAAGTGGCCCTTGCTGTTGACCTTCCTTTTTCATTGCAAACAGTTAACATTCTAGTGCCTCCTGCCTCCCCGCCCCCCCCCCCCCAGGGTGCACCATCCTTACCGAATCCCCAGGCTTTGGGGGTCCCCTGCTTCTGAGTCATCTCTTGCCACATGGTGGCTCTCCTCTTAGGGCATTTTTTTCCTCACTCCCACCCTCTAAGGCCAGACTTGCATCCTTAGACTTTTCCACCTTCTCTGTCTCCTGGTGTTCTCTCTGGACACACACCTTTCAATCCCATCTGCCCCTGAAGGGCATGAACCAGGCTCAGCTACCAGACTCTCTACCATATCCCAACCCTTGGAGTACAAAGCAAGCCTGTAGCTCAGTTGCTCCGCTGCTCCCGGCCCTGGGAACAGGGAACCTCCGTGTCCGTTTCCCTTCCTCTTGTCATCCCACAGCCAACCCCCCAGGAAAGCCCATGGCTACCCGCAGAACAGACCAGGGTCCCACGGGTTCCCACATCCCCATGGGGACTACCCGGTCCTAAATCTCTTGTTGGGTCAAATTTAGTCCCCTTCCCCCAGGCTCCCAACATCAGCTCTGCCCCTCTGAAATCTATTCCCAATGGGAAAGCCAGCCTTCGAGGTCACGGTCCTCTTTCATCCTAGAACTTCCCTGGGTCACCTCCCCACTTAGACCACCTCCGAGCCCCTCCTGGACTCCTAGATCCTTGGGAGCTGACCTGCTCTCTGCTGTTCCATCGACAACCTCCAGGACTTTGAACCAGCCATCCCCTTGGCTTCTGACTGTCCTCCCCACATCTGCACAGACTCCCCACCCTGCTCTGCCACTTAGATGTCTGTTCAACAAGGTCTCCCCGGATTAAATCAGGTACAAAAGCCACTCCCCAGCACTTTCCATCTCCTCCCCGGCTCACTCATCACCTCTGACACATTACCCTTGTCTATGTGTTCATTATCTGTCTCCTGCCCCAGACTCTAAGTCTGGGAAGGCAGGGATTTTCTTTTCTACTGTGTTCTCTTGTGTTGCAGTGTCGGTGCCTAGAACAGTATCTGACACAAGGCAGACTCTCCATAAACAGTTGCCAAGTTGATGGATAAGCAGGTCCAGCTTCACCGGACTGTGAGCGGGGCAGCAGGGGCAAGGGCAAGCCTGTGCTTACCACCATAGTCTCAAATCCTAAGAAATGCTCAGTAAATATTAGCTGCCTGGATGAGTGGCTGGGTAAATGGGCTGGAACACCGACTGTCGCCAAGGGCTGCCACTGGGTAGGTGTCCGGGCCTGAGTGTGCAGGAGTAGGCAGGCCTACCCACCCTGGAGATGAGCCATTCAGGATCGCCTGAGATAGTGGTCCCAGATTCTGTCTGTCTGGTAGGATTCCCCCCACACCACCCAGGCCCTTGGCGAATTGCTTTGCCTCTTCCCAGCAGCTCAGGGAATGGCCCAGGTGCCATGTTAATCCATACTTTAAGCTCTCAGGCTCCTCAGCAAAGCAACTGTGCTTCTGAGACTCCCCAGCAGAAAGCCTAGTGCTGGCGTGTGGAGGGAGGTGTGGGTCTCCATGGTGATGTGTGTCATCACACCAAACAGGGACCAGTAAGGTATGTGACAGCCGGAAGGTAAAAATCAAAGGGGAAGATGCTGGCTGAGTTGCTCAAGACAAAACCTCATCACAGAGAAGCAGAGGACCGGCCACGGGCTATAAGTGACAAAACCTCATTGCAGGGAGGCATGGGATTAGCCACAAGCCATGAGAATGACGGCGCCTTGGGAGGGAGGGTGTGCCTGTGGGTCTAGAGCTGTGTACCCCGGAAGGATCCTGGAATCACACTTAGCCACCTCCTAATCGCAGTCACCCCAGAGTGGAGGGTGGGGCTTGTTGCTCAATTTGGTGATGCACACCTTTAATCTCAGAACTCCAGAGGCAGAGGCAGGTGGACTTCTGTGAATTCAAGGCCAGCCTGGTCCATACAGTGAATTCCAGGACAGCCAGAGCTACACAGAGAGACCCTGTTTCTTTCAAGCAAGCAAACAAACAAACAAACAAAAAAGAAAACTATGTTCTTGATTCTTCTATCTATGACCTAATAAATTCATATCCTTCTATAAGAGACACCATTTTTACAAAAAGATTTCATTTATTTTATGTATGTGAATGCTCTATCTGCATGTATACCTGCATGCCAGTAGAGGGCATCAGACCACATATGGTTGCTGGGAATTGAACTCAGGAAGAGCAGCCAGTGCTCTTAACCACTGAGCCATCTCTCTAACCCTAGACACTTTTTTTTTTTTTTTTTCATCTTTAGCCCTTTCTACAGACCTCACTATGTAGCTTGGCTGTCCCCAAACTCATTGAAATGCTCCTGCCTCAGCTTTTCTAGTTCTGGGATTCGAAGCATGAGCCGTAATAATGTTAAAAAAAAAAAAAAAATTGTCCCCGTGGATAGGGCCGAACTTGGTCTCCGCACAGGGCTTCTGAGCCTCACTTGGAGCGATGGTTTGATCCGCAGGTTCCAAAGCTGGGCAGTGAGTTTTGTCAACCTCCACCCTTGCTCTGACATTCTTGGCCCTTTTCTACCTAAGGCTAACACAGTCTCCCAGCATTTCCACACAGACACAGGCCAGCAAGCTACAGACCTTCTGGTCCTTACAGCTTCAAGGGGAAGGGTTTTCAAGAGAGAAAAACCAAGAAAATACTATTTCATGACATAAGAAAGTGATACGAAACTCCACTTTTAGTGTCGAAAGTAATGGTCCATCTGTCTGTCCATCTATCTCTCTGTCTGTGTATCTATCTATCTATCTATCTATCTATCTATCTATCTATCTATCTATCTATCTATCTATCTCTGTGTGTGTGTCTGTCTATGTGTTTGCATGCCTGTGTGAGGGTGCCTGTGCCTGTGCCTGTGTACAGGCCCAGGGGCCAGAAGAGGGTATTGTGTATCTTCCTTTTCCTTTGAGGCAGGGTCTCTCTCTGAACCAGGGACTCACAGGTTCTCAGCTAAACTGGATGCCAGCACGCTCCAGCAACCGTCCTACTTCTACCCAGCTCAGAGGTAGGGTCACAGGCATTTGTGGGATGTCCCGTTTGCTAGACGAGTGTTGGGATCTGAATCTCAGGATTTCAGATCAAATGCTCTTAACTGCTGAGCCATCTCTCCAGCCCCAAGAGCTGTGTTTTATTGGTTCCCCAGCCACACCCACTCATTTGGGAGTTGCCCATAGCTGCTCTCCAATTACAATGGCAGAACTGAGTAGAGCCACAAAGCCTGAACTATTTACTGTGTGGCTCCTCTGGTATGTAACTAGCCTGCCCTGTGATGGGTCAGCTGGCAATTTGAACTTTATTCTTATGTGTCTAACCCTCCAAAGGGCCGCAGTAAAAGATCACTTTAAGCCTTCTTGCAATGGTGGGCAGACTCCCCACTCAGTGACACTTCGAGGGACCCTCTCCCACAGTTGGAGATCCCCCATGGCTAGCGCTCTGGCTGACTCATTCCCGGGTCTCCAGCCTCTGCCTCAGGCAGCGTTTGCTGAATCGCACAGCCTGCTATTGTTGCCCGACTGTAGACACTTCAGGCTTCTTCTGGGTTTTCCTGACTCGCCTGAACACTAGCCAAGGGGCCCGTTGTGGGGAGGTCAGGTGGGCTGCACAGGTCTGAGTCCATGTCAGGAAGATCTGGTAATTCAGGGGCTTCCCTGGGCACACTTAACTCTGCCTGGCCACAGACCAGCTGAGACCAGCTGGGTTGAAGTAACAACGGGCCGCATGCTTACCTGGAAATAAGCGTGAAGTGCCTGCCCGGCACTGCTTGGAAGAGAGCAGAGTTCTTCTGGAAGGTAATCCAGCAGAGTGTGGGGCAGGGTGTCATGGAGACCACTATCCTGCGGGAATATGTCCTGGACTGGGTCTCCAGTGGCTGCTGACCTGGGGACACCTATGGCTGTCTTGGGCAGTGACCAAGGCCTTTGATGCTCGGTGGATGAGGAGTAGCACCACCTGAGGGTGCACGTTTGCACACTGGTCCTGCATCCTGCACCCACCTAACCACCGGCCCCCTGTGGTTATGCTAGGGCTTTCCTTTCAAGGACACAAGTCCAGCCGGATCCTGGGATCCCAAGGCAGGCCTCCTGGTTCAACGTGATTTGGGGGAACTTTGAGGACCTCAGGCCACCATTCTGATCCCTTTCCCTGGAAAATCCTCTAAAACCCTGAACTCCAGCCAGTCCTTTCTAGCTGGCTGTTTTGGAAAGACTTGGGGTTGTCTAATGAGCATTCATAGCATGCTGTGGCTGAGAGCTGGCCCCGGGGTCAGCTACTTGGGAAGGACAGTGACTCACCCTCCTCGGCAGCACCCCAAATGACTGATTCCTTTCTTTGGGAAAAAATTGTTTTGCATGTGTATGTGTGTGTGCACGTATGTATACATGTTCACGTGGGTAGGCATGTGAAAGGTTGAGGATGATGTCACTTGTCTCCTCGGTCACACTCTCCACCTTTTCCTAATTTTCTTGTTACTTAGCAAGAGTTTCTCACTAACCATGTAGCTTTTACTGTCTGGTGAGCTAGCTTGTTCCAAGGATCCCCGTTTTAGGATTTGGGTCCTGGGATTACAGGCAGGCCTACCTGGATTTTCACTTAGGTTCTAGGGAGCCAAATCCTGTCTTCAAGATTGCAAGACAAGAGCTTCACCAGCAGAGCCTTCTCCCTGCTCGTGACTGGGATGTCGGGGGTCCAAATTGGACCCTATTCCACCACTTCCTTCCTGGAGACAGTGTCTCCCTGGCCTCATGGGACAGAGTGGAGGGATTCCTGAGACTGGGAACCCACAGACCCTTGCACGGGCAGCCATGGGAGCCACTGTCCTCCCAAGGAGTTCACTATCTGCTCATGGCATCTCCTTGCTTCTCTACAAGGACAGGGTGGCCTGGTGTGGTGAAGGACTTGTTGGATGGTGCCGGCCAAGAGATGCAAGGCCTTTAAAAGAAATTTTAATCCAGGAGCAGGGAGATATGGCTCTTGTGTGTCTAACCCTCCAAAGGGCCACAGTAAAAGAACGTTTTAAGCCTCCTTGCAATGGTGGGCAGACTCCCCACCCATGATGCTTCGAGGGACCCTCTCCCATAGTTGGAGATTCCCCCATGGCTAGCGCTCTGGCTGACTCATTCCCCGGTCTCCGGTCTCTGGCTCAGGCAGCGTTTGCTGAATCGCACAGACTGCTATTGTTGCCAGATGTGAACTTGGGTCCTGGGCATCAGAGCAAAGGCTGGTGCGACAGCTAAACAACAGGGGAAAGTAAAGAACAGCCGGTGAGCAGAGCAGGGACTGGGGGTAGATCTGGGAGATTCTACCCCTACAGAGGCACTGCAACAGCCCTGTGGTGAGAGCGAGGATGCCTGATTCCCTGGTGGCACACACCTATGATCCCTGCACTCCAGAATCAGAGCCAAGAGCATGCTAGGTTCTGGCCTGGAAACAAAACAAAACCCAAGAGGCTGACGTGTGGCTGGGGTGGGAGGGTGTGGCGATTTGAATGAGAATGTCCCCCATAGGCTTATACGTTTGCATGCTTAGCCCCTGGTTGAACTGTTTAGGAAGGATTAGGACGTGTGGCCTTGTTGAAAGAGGTGTGTCACTGGGAGTAGGTTTTTAGGTTTCAAAAGCCCAAGCCAGGCTCAGCCTCTCTCTCCAGTCTTTCTCTCCCCATGTCTGCCTGCTAGTAAATCAGGATGTAGCTCTCAGCTCTGTGCGTGCCCATGCTTCCTGCCATGATGAGGCTAGGTTAACCCCTGAAACTGTAAGCGAGCCCCCAATTAAATACTTTCTTTGATAAGAGTTGCCTCGATCATGCTGTCTCTTCACAGCAACAGAACAGTGACTAAGACAGAGGGTGAAAGAAATGGAGGGGGAAAGGGGAAGACAAGAAGAGAGTGTGGGCACAGAGCCATGCTGGGCAGCTCACGCAGGCTCCTGGGGGCTGTGCCATGGCCATGAGAGGTCAGGGTGCCACATGGCCCGGATTCCTGTCTGTGTTCTCCCGGTCCAACTTGTGAATTCTCCCAGCAGCCCTCCAGGGCCTACCCTCGTCCTCTGGAGCACTAGATGAGGAAATCAAGGCACGAGGAAGGGAGCTTGTGTGCTGAGGGTCCGCCAGCAGGTGCGTAGAAGTGGGATTTGGATCAAGGCAGGTAGATTGGCGCCTGAAGGTCTGGAGCTCTGCAGTCTGAGCTCTGCTACCTGTACCCAGACAGTGTCAAGAGAGAGCACTCAGCCTGGCTAGGCTCCACTTTGCTCAGGGCATTTGGGGTCCTCCCGGCCTTCATTTGGCCTTAGAGAGGAAAGTTCAGTGGGGCATGGAAATAACCTGAAGGCTGCTAACTCGCTACGCCTCAGTGTATACAATAGAATCCCATACCCACTGCCTCCAGGCCTGTGACGTCCTCTTCGTCATTCACAGTCCTCCTCCCTGGCCAGCCTCAACTCAGCAAACGCTTTCTTGGATCTGCTGAGTTGATTAGTGACCTCATGCTCCTACTTGTCCTGTGCCTGCCCTCTTCTTACTCTCTGAGCTTTGAGTCTTCCTTTGGGTGTCTGGGTTCCCTGCTTGGCCAAGCCCATGGCTCGACAGTGACAGCAGTATCTCCATGCTGGCTCCATGCTTGACCTTTCCAGAGGCAAGCAATGATCAAGCTAGCTGCCAGGCACCTGTCCTCTCTCCCCCATGCCCTCAGCAGGGCTCCCATTCCCTCTCTTTTCCTATCCATGTCTCAGTCCATTCCTTTCTTATTTTCTCCCTTTTCTTTTCTCCCCCTTTCCTCACTTCTTTCTTTCTTTCCACAGGGTCTCACGTAGCCCAGACTGCCCTCTAGTGTACTACAGGATGACCTTGAACTTCGGATCCTCCAAGTGCTGGGATCACCATGCTGGGTTTGACGCAGAGCTGGTGATGGAAGCAGGGCTTCATGCATGCTAGATGGGCACCAATTAAGCTACATCCACAGCCCCCATTTAATGGTTTCTGTACACAGAGCAGTAGGTCCTGGTGGCTGGAGTAAGGTCTCACAGTGGGCTGACCTAACAGGCTGTGGGGTGGAACTGCGGGTCTCAGACTGATTGCCCATCCCAGCCTTCCTGCGGCTCCGAGCTCCCCGCCGTCTCTGTGTATCTGTCTGTATTCCTCAAACATCACACTCTATAGCGGCAGAGCTCCCTGTATCAGGCCCAGCCCTCTTCCTCCTCCCTCAGCAGTCTGGTCCAGCTGCCACATGAAAGCCTCCAAGTCATTCTGGACTTTTGTTTTTCCCTTCTTCTCCACTGACCGTGCACCTGCACCCAAGATCTCCACAGGGGTCTTGAACCTATACAGTTTCCCTCTGCTACCAGCTCTCACTGGAGTTCCCAGGGTCTTTACCTTCAATAATAGCAGTGTCCTACCTGGCCTCTCTCTGTTCACTCTGGCCGCTTTCCATGCAGCAGCCAAGAAGCCTCGGCTCACTCCGTTGCCATGGATCCATGCTCTCCATCCCATACAGCTCTTCACGAAGCTGCCGCTGATCTTTCTGTCTTCTCTTGAACCATTCTTTCACTTGTCCACCCACTCTGGGCACCCTGGCCATCATTTTGAACCTCCTACCCACCATCCTTTGCAGTGTCTCTGCCCACTCACGGGTGATGGCCCCTCAGACTTGGCACAGCAGGGTCCCATCATGTGACTGCTCAAAAGCATTCCTCTGGGCTTCTATTTGCTTTCTCAATAGCATCCATCTCTGGTGGAATAGTGTGCTTCTCCTCAGCTGCACTGTAAATCCGCAAGAGTGGAGACGCTGGCTGCACCAGGCCTTACAGCGGGGCTGGGCCAAGGCCAGTACTTGTTGACTGCTGGTTGAGCTTGCAGGTCTTTCTGCCCCATCAATTGTGTGTTTACAGTTTTACCCTACAGAAGTCATTAGACAGATGTGCATGGGGTACCTCAAGACCTTCATTACAGTGCCGGGGAGGTAGCTCAGTGCACCCACACTGTGCCGTGTGCCTGTGAGTCCAGAGGATGAGGACTTCAAGGCTGTCCTTGGGTTCATGGTGAAGTTGTCACCAGCCTGATGCTATCTGAGCTCCTGTCTCAGAAGGGAAAAGAGAGAGAGAGGGAGAGATTGATTGTAGGGTTGCTTGTTTGCTCGACAACCGGAAGTAACGACGAGTAAGGGATTGATTCGACAGTCACAGCCAAGGGGTGCCACAGATGGCCCCGATAGCACTGCTGTGTCACCAAGGAAAGGGAATATGTGGCGGTGACACACGATTATTAGAAAGGAGCCCCGGAGGGCGGGAATTCTGGCTGCATCTGCAAACATGTCCACTTACAGATGGAGATAGTGCCAGAGAATCAAGCTTTGTTCCTTGGCTGGACAAGAGAAAGAAGCCAGGGAGGGCAGCACCCCATGTCGGAGGCCCAGGCAGCATGGAAGCCCAAGTCTTCATCCCACCAGGACTCACTTCCCGCTCTGGACTTGTCTGTGGGAAGCTTAGTCAAGCCCTTCAGCTTCCTTGGCTACAGAACTGCTCCTGTTCTCCCCACTGGCTGCACCAAACTGTGCAGGAGGTCACAGCTGGAGTGAGGGGGAGCCATATCTTCCCCTGAGTGTCAGAGATAGGCTGGGCCCGAGGCTGTCTTCTTTTAGCCTAATGGTAGCCTTGAAGGATGTGCTGCTAACCCAGAGTTCATCCCGCTAGTTAAGGGCATAGTCTAGTTCTGAGCTAAGGGGACTAATCACAATTCCATCTTTTTTTTTTTCCCCAACATATTTTTTATTAATGATTTGGGATTTCACATAATGTACCCTGATCACACTTTCTCTCTCTCTCTCTTTCTCTCTCTCTCTCTCTCTCTCTCTCTCTCTCAGACAAGGACTCACATGGCCCAACTTGGCTTTGAACTCATTCTATAGCTGAGGAACTTCTGATCCTCCTGCTTCTACCTCCCAAGCGCTAGAATTGTAGGTATGTACCACCATGCCTGGTTTAAATGCTGCTGGCAATTGAACCCAGGACTTTATGCATGCTAGACAAACATGGCTATTTTTATTTTTTATTATTGGAGTGTGGTGCGTGCATGCGTGCACACACACACACACACACACACACACACATACATGCACACACAGTTTGCATTTATGTGAAGGTCAAAGGACAAATTTTAGTTGTTTCTCTCTGCTGACTTCCACAGATCAAACTCAGGTTTTCAGGTTTGGGTAGCAAGTGCTCTTACCCACTAAGTCATCTTGCCAGCTTGCCCTACTCCTTTTTAGGGTCTCACTATGTGGTTATGGCTGGCTTTGAACTCACTACCCTCCTACCTCAACCTTTCCAGTGTTTTGTGGAGCTGCTGCAATAAGTCCCAGAGCCCTGAGAATGTCCCAGGACCAGGAAAAGCTCACTTACTGGTTGGGGAAACATGGCCCCACTCCCTACACTAAGCACCCCCACCCTTCTCCCATAACATCCCTCCCAGGCACCCTTAATAAGGAGATCCAGAGAGCCTGGTGCCCACAGGAGGCTTGGGTCGGGCCTGGCCTCCCTGTAATTAAGGCAGCCGGAGGCTGGGATCTGGGATCCCATCATCCAAGGTGGGGAGGAGGGGCAAAGGAACAGGAGGAACCTCCTTGTGGCCAGGCTGACCACGTCAGCAGCCACTGGCCCTCTGGGAACAACTAGGCAGCAGCTGGCAGCTGGGATAGACCCAATATAGACCCTGTCATTGGCTCAGCATTACCCTGGTCCAAGCCAGTGCAAGCTGGTACCATGGACTCAGCTTCATCTGAGTCCCATAGGTGCCTGTCTCCCATCTCTCTCCTCTTGAGCCCTCCACCCAACTCCACAGCCGTTCTTCCAAAAAAGCAGGCCTCTGAACACTCGGCCTCTAGTGTCCAGCAAGGCTGAGGGCAGATGGCTTCTCTTCTTCGGCAGGGATCGCTGTGTGTCAGGGAGGCCGGGGAAGGGCTGCTCAAAGGATCACGCAGGCATCCCTTGGAAAGGAGGTCAACTTCTAAACAGAAGCTTCCAGCTTCCTGTGGCCCCTGGAGCAAGCCCGCCCTCCAGTTATCTCTCTGGTCCTCCGAGCTGCATCTGCGCTCGCATCACCCTAACCTTCTCTCGCCTCCTGGTGGTCTGCTCCCCACCAGATAGTCCCTTGGCAGCACAGTCCTCGGCTGTGCCACTGCATCAGCCTGGGCACGCCTCTTTGCCCTCCCTCCCCTGTCCAACCCATCCAAACCCTGCTCACCTTTCTCCTACTGGACTTAGATGGAGGTTTTCCTGCTAGGAGCCGTGGCACTGGCTGGCCTGCACTGGCTTGGACCCGGACGATGCTGAGCTAATGAAAGCATGTGTCTTCCCTGGCACTCTCTGGCACCAGGGCTGTGCCATCCCGGGGGCTCAGACCTGCCCGGGTGGTCACTCACAAGCTGTGGTCTCGAAGCTGCACTGTACTTGTCTGTGAGAATGGGTTTCTAGAAGTAAGTAACCCCTGGGAGGCTCATGGGAGGCTTCGTGGGTAAACACTCCAAATGGTACCATGGTGGGTGTGGTCCTCAGGTGACCACAGCTGCTCATGTCGAAGCTACAGACACACTCAGCCCGCCCTGTCACGTCGTTCTACAGGGGCCAGAGAGGCCTTTCTAAGGCAACTGGGATCTTGGCACCGACCAGATGTCCATCTTGACCCTCTCCTGGCCTTGCTCTCCTGCTCTCTCTGAGCTCCATTTATCCATTCTAACTGCTAGAACAAATCTGACAAATACCCACTGTCCCAGCGGCAGGCCTTTGACCCTTCTCTACCTGGCTAACTCCTAGGCAGCCTTTTAGGTCGCAGCTGAGGTACCTTTTCCTCCAGGGAGCCCCCATGGCCATCTCTGCCATTCCGGGGAGCCCCCATTCCCTGAGCTCCGGAGGTGCTGGCCTGTATACTCCACTGTGGTACCTAGCACACCTGGGTGCTGATGGCCCTGCAGAGGGCCCTTGCTCTCTGCTGCAGACCCAGCGCAGCATAGTGTCTGGCAAGGACTGGATTCTTGAAAAAAATATTTAGTGACTGAATGGATGGATGAGTCAATTTCTGCATCCCACACTGCAGGAAATGTCTGAGAACAGATTTGAGTGGGAGGTTCCTGCAAGGCCCAGGAGAAGGCCCTGGGCTTTTGGGGTGCTAGGTGGTGAGCAACAGACACCCTTTTCCCCTTTCAGGAGGAGGTCAGCCTCCCCATCCATTTGCACCGGCCCCCTGGGGCCTCGGAACCGGCTTCCAGATGTTAAGCCCCCTGTCAGCCTTACCTCCTAGCTTTTCCATCTGCACAGCTGGACCAGATCCCCGCAGCCAGCATCTCGGGCAGCCAGGCCAGCCGTCCCCAGCGTCTTCCTATTTTAGACATCTCGCCGCCTCGGTCCCTTCTAATGTTTCCAGGCAGGCTGCGGGGGGAGGAAAAAAAGGTTACTGCTACTTTAAATGTACTGTATGAAGGCAAGGGCTGGAAAGGGGCCTGCTTGCAGGAATACCCAGTCATCTAGTTGGAGAAGCCGCCAGATGGAATACAAAAGGAGAAGCGCAGGCGCTCATGGAGACGGCCTCGGTTCATAAATCAGGTGGGGCCGTGGCCCAGGGGCCCGCACGTCATGGAGCCCGACTCCCCCCAGGACCCAGGCGACTCCTACGGTAGGTGAGCAGAGCCAGCTAAGTGGCTAAGTGGCAGAGTTTGGGATTTTAGTCTATTGCTCCAGCAGACTTTGCTTAGCTTTGGGAATCAGAGTTGAAGGGGTCTGGAGCGGGGGAGCAGACGTCTAAGTGCCACCCGGCCTCTGGGCTTACGGCAGGCATGGGTGCCCTGGGTCATGGGTCTGTAGGGTCCCCTTAGACGTGGCGCTGGCATGATCTGGTAACAGGGTAGAGTTTCTTGGCTACTTGCGCTTTGCTCTTGGCCAAGAAGGAGAGGAAGTTTATAGCCCCCTGCTCCTCTGTCTTACAGTCCCCCGGGTCTGCCTGCTGCTGTGGCAAATTCAATTAGCCAGGTCTGCAGAGAAGCAGAAATGAGCAGGCAACTGCATGTACCTTGTAATTAAAGGCCAGAGCTGAGCCGAAAGCTCCCGGCTCCCCTCTCTGGTACACAAGGCCCCCAGGCTGCTGCAGCTGGGGAGCTGCCCTGCTCAGCTCCCGTGGACCACTGAGAGCCCTGAGCAGAGTGCTGGAGAAAAGTTGCTGGGCTGAGAGCCCAGGCAGAGTGGGGCTGGGGGCTGGAAAGCTCAGGATGCTTCTTCTAAGGAGGTTTCAGCAGGCTTGGGACCCCAGGGACTCAGGTACCCAAGCTCACTGGCTACTTGGCTGGCCAGGCTGCTGCTCATTTGGCCAGAATGCAGGCACAGAGTGGCTGTCTCCCAGCAACAGAGAGAAGCAGGAGAGCAGGAGCATAGCTGAGGGAGGGAGGTTGGGGGAAGGTTGAGGGGTTTACTGGGGAGACAGGGATGTTAGCCTCAGGTAAGGAGGTCTTCTATGGCTAATGACTTATGTGAGTCTTAAGGCTGTAACCCTTTGGAGACCACATACTCTACTTAAAAACAAAACCAAACACAAACAAACAAACAAACAAAAACCCCTCATCTTCTCCCCCCCCCCCCCCCCAACTGCTTTGCTCCAGCCAGGCCTAGCTGCCTGGCCCAGAGTCAAGGCCAAATTCCCTTCCTCCTCCAGCAGCCCAGCTCTGTCCAGAGAGAGAAGGATTTTTGCCATGCTTCAAGCTGTAGCCCTCAGGGAAGCTGGGCCAGGCCCTACCATGGACCTGGCAACTTCAGTCAGGTGACCTGTGGGTCACTGCATCCAAGTAATAATCAGTCCTCAGAGAGTGGGGGAGGGGAGGGCAGGAAAGGAGAGGGGAGGAGAAATACAGCTTCTGTTCTGGAAGGCGTTTTGGTCTGGAATGGGAGGCCATCCATGGTCCCAAGACCTGCTCTAGAGGGATGTATTCTTGGGAACACACATTCTGGGCTGTGGGATAGGTTTGGCTTTCCCCAGAACTGTCCACCTCAAGCATGGCATGGCCTAGGCATGACCCATATAGGCTCCTTCCTGTTACCCAAGGAAGGCACAGGGCCAGTGCAACCCGGAGAATTGTGAAGACAGGGAGTGGTGTCAGTGTTGCCAATCAGAGCTCTGGTGGTCCCTGGGCGCTCCTCCCCATCCAGGGATATCTTAGGAGCCTGCAGCCCCTCTCTCAGTTGGTCCCCCCGCCCCCACCCCCTGCACATTTGCCAACAGCAGGCTCTGGGCAGGACAAAGCTGGAAACTGAGACAGCTCCTAGCTCAGTGGTGTGCAACCTGCCCCATCTTAGCCTGCGGATCTCCTGGATTCTGCTGTGGCAGGGTATGTGTGTCTTGGACCTGGGGAAGAAGCCTAGGGACAGAGGAGGGTCCAGGGGAGGCCAGGCAACCTCCCACCCAGCCAGCCTCAGAGGTCCTCAGCTGAAACCCATCCTGGGCCAGGGCAAGAAAGGAAGCCTCCTCTCCAGCCCTCCTTCTCCAGCTGTTCATTCACTTGTTTGCACTACTCTCAAGTCCAGAGCTGGGGCTCCAGGAGCCCAAACTTTGCCTCTGCCTTTATGAAGTCCCCAAGTTAGTCTGTGAGTAGGGACTGATCCAAGGAAGGAGCCCAGGCATCATGGAACTGCTTATTCCAGTGCCTAGGAGGGCTTCCTGGAAGAAGTGACTTCATGACTTCGATAGCCTCTGTCGGTGTGGATGGGTGTGGATGGCCATGGCACAATGCTATAGGCTGACCAGAAATGACGGTGGAAAACACATCCTCCTGTTCCAGAAGTAAACATCTCAGGCCATTTTCAGGTGACCTGGTTTCTGTTGAGGGCTCTGCCCCCAGGTGGATGGCTCCTTTCTGTTGAGTCCATGTGGTCTTGCCTCAGTCTGTGCACGTGGAGAGAAGGCACATGTTCTAGTCTCCTGCCCGTGGAAATAGTGGTGCTACTGTATCAGGGAACCACCTCATTCATCCTTGGCGTCTTCCTGTAAGGCCCTATCACCATGTACAGGCATGGGGGTGAGGGCAGGTCACTCAGATCCTCCATGACTCCCCACTTGAAACATCTCCTTCCCCTGTCACCTGGGACAGCCACACCCTGCCTTCCTCCCACTTCTTGACTCTTCTTTCCCTATGACCCACATGGCCCGCCTTCCAGGTTAAGCCACATGACCACACTTCCTGCCCTTCTCTCTTCGGCAGCCATGCTGGCCTGTCCCACCCCAAGGCCTTTACAACTGCAGCTCCCTCTGTCCGAGGCAATCTTCCTCCTTCCATTCAGTGAGCTAACTAGTGTTTTTTGTCCTACTTGCCAAAAAGTTGTCTCTTCTGAGAAGCCTTCTTTCTCTAGACCATATTCCCTGAGTCCACTGAATCAGACCCCACTGCCTTCCTGTCTCTTGTCTAGCCTGTTCTGGTTTGTGGATTTCATTGGAATGGGATTAACTGCATAGCCCGTTCTAATCTCTAAACTCTCTGAATCCCCAGAGCACATCTCTCTGCTTGGCATTTGTGGGTGCACTAAAAAACTGTTGAGTGAGCAAGGAGCTGAATGAACACAATTCACCCAGACAAAGAGGCAAAGAAAGGCATTCCAGGCAGACGGAAGAGCATTCGAAGGCCTGGGGCTGAGGCATTCTTGAAGGTTCTCTACTTGGAGTGATGATAATCTAGGCAAGCCCTTGAAGGGTCCTGGGAACCTGATGGAAACAAAGCTGGTTGGAACTCTGGGCTCTCCTCCTTTCTTCAAGCTGCGATAGACTCTCTCCCACCTGCTGGTGGACATACTGATTTTGGCTTCTGTTTACAGGTTTTCAGGGGTTTGGTCCCGGGGCAAAGGAGTCACAGCCATCAGCACAAATGTGCAAAAAGCTAGCAGCAGAGGCTCAGAAGTGAGTCTAAGCCAGGTGTGGTGGTGCACACCTTTAAGTCCCAGCACTCAGGAAGCAGAGGCAGGTAGATCTCCACGAGTTCAAAGCCAGCTTGGTGAATTCCAAGTCTTAGATAGATAGATAGACAGATACATAATAAAACTAAACGTGAGGGTCTCCTAGGTCAGGGCCAAGGAGGGCTAGGGGTAAGGGCAGACTAAAGAGCTAATCAGAGGCAGGAAGGCTTAGGGACTGTGCAAGGCCTGCCAACAAAGATCTGTTTTCTTAGGCCTTGGTTTTTCCAGATGTAAATGGGTACAAGTATCAGCTAAAGTCTGTCTTTCAAAAAGACAAGCCCTTCTAGTAATCCTTGTGAGTGTCAAAGAACGGGACGACAGGGGCTGGTGGTGGCCAGCGATGAGGGAAGACCCAGCTACCTCTCTCCAGGATCTCATGATTTCACCATCTCTCCCCACCATACACTGCTCTTGGCTCTCAGAGTCCTCTCGGGGCATTGGTCACTACTCTGACTCCTATCCGAGATCATAAGATGCTGAGGGCAGAGCCTTTCTTGCTTGAATTGTTTCCTGGTAATTTTGTGTTAGCAGCGCTTGGCCTGACAACATGTATTCCTGACATTGGATGGATGGATGGATGGATGGATGGATGGATGGATGGATGGATGAATGACAGCAGCTGGACCCCTTGTTAATTTGCTCCCATTGTATCCAGACCTCCTCCTCTTCTCTGGGCTTCTGTGTGGGTAACTCTCACTTGTGAATGCTGGTCTCAACGGTAGAATTTTCCAGTTCTAACCATCTAAGATTCCATCAGCATTCTGGGTTGCTAGGCAGCCTGAGGCCAGTCTCTACTGCTGGCTCAGCCTTAGTTTCCTCGGCAGACAATTGGGCAGGGTCCACCCTGCTCTGCATGTTGCCACCAGGTTGCCCATGTACTCCCAAAGAGAAGTGAGTGGGCACAGCTGGACCCCTGTGGGGGTCTACGACTCAGAGAGGTGAGTAGGACATACTCAGTGTGCTGGGATACATCGGTTGCTCTGTGACTCCTGCGAGTGGGACACAGGCTCACAAACCTGTTCCTCAGCTCACCAGCAATTGATTTGCCCAGGGCATTGGGAGCTCTGTGGCAAGGAGGCAGCCATGCTCCTGTTTCGTTCTGAGTATTAGAGGTGAAGCAATCACAACATATTCCCCCAGTCCTGGAGACCAAACCCAGGGCCTCAGTCATACCAGACAAGTGTTCTTCCATCCCCATTTTTCTTTTCTTTTGAGGCAGGGGCTTACTACATAGGCCTGGCTGTCTTGTAACTAGCTATGTAGACCAGCCAACCTTGAACTCACAGAGATCCACCTGCCTCTGCCTCCTAAGTGCTGGGACTAAAGGCGTGTGCTACCACACCACAGCTTCTCTTTGTTTCTTATTTTGAAATAGAGTGTCCATAAGTTAGTTTTCCAGGCTAGCACTGAACTCATTCAGT